TTTGGAACAGAGTTTGTGTAGTGCATTGATTCAGAGGCACTCACCAAAGCATGACCTTGGATCTTGTTCTGATACCTGCACTCCTGGTTGCGGATTTCAGGTGGCTTCTCTTGTGCAACCCTAGGTATCTTGTCTTTTTAAAGCTCTGCCCACAGATGTTGCACACGTGCAGAGATTTTTTGGTAGCACCCCCTTTTGGGCTACTAGGCTTTAATTTTTTGTTATGGGTCACTTCCTCGTTGTGGCGCTTCTTATTGCTGGTCTTCAAGGTCTTTTTGCCCACTATGCCAGGAGCTTTTGGAGGCAAGTTCCTGCGTGTCAGATATGGTGAAGTGTGGTTGTGGTGGACATTCACTTCTTCTTGTCGACCTTGAACTTTCTCCTCTTCTTTGTTCAACATGACTTCCGCTGGCTTCTTGACGGCGTAGCTCTCCAGCGACTGGGAGATCCTGCTCAGGTAGGAGGACTTCTTCTTGTGGAGCTCTGAGAGATGGCGTAACACGTCCCTCTTTCGGCGTGTCTTGTAGCGGCAGAGCGGACAGCAGTAAAACTTGACAAAGAAGTCCGTGCCATTATCCGTGTGCAGCTCAATGTGTTTCTCCAGGTTCTGCACGGAGCTGAAGGTCCGCCTGCAGAGCTTGCAGAAGCATGCCTTAAAGTCAAAGCCTATGGAGAATTGAGCCTTGGATGAGACCTTGTCCTCCTTGGGGCTCTTCTGGTTCTGGGTGTCAGATAAAGAGCTGGGACTAGTGTTGGGATTGTCTGGAACTTTACCGTTGGGCATTTTCTTGGAGCTGGACGTGGAATCACTGGAGTTGGTTGTGGAGCCAGAAGATACAATCTTGTGTACAGTCCACAGGTGTCTTCTAAGGTGGCCTCGTACCCTGTACGTCCTGTTGCAAATGAGGCATTTGCAGGGGGCCAGGTCTTTGTCACATGCTTCTTCTGTTGGCTCCTCAGGTTCTTCGCTATCCTGATGCCCCTTTTCTGCATCTTCCTCTCCCTTCTCCATGTTCTCACTCTCATCTTCCTCATCAATAAAATTGTTCTCCTCTTCTTCCAACTGGACCTCCTCCATGTACGGTTCCTGGCTGTTGGAGTGGTAGTGTCTCCAGCTGTCTTTGGTCGTGTGGTTTGGGCTCCGAGATGAAGGTGGCAGGTTATCTTCTTTGGACAGGTACTGGTACACAGCATTCTGGTTGCCAGCAATGGGCTCCAGTTTCAGTATATATTCCTCTTTATCAGATTGGGGATAGATAGCTTCAAGAAGTTCTTTAATGCTCTTCTTGCCATCTCCAGAAAGGCCTGGAACCAGAAGTAGACCTTAGTTAAAGGGGCCATATTATAGAAAAATTGTATTCCTTTTTTTTGGGGATATTAAAGATTACTATGTAGATACACTATAACATTTATTACATATAGCTCACCCAGAACATTTGATGAAACAATGGGCCATTGATAAATCAGTTATGACATCCCAACCATAACCTAACTAACATGATCATCTATGTTTGTAGGTCATCAGCATACAGTATTCAACAACTTGACAAACCCTGATTAATGGCAGTGTGAAATATGTTAGCATGCAAAGTTTAACCAATCAAATTTACATATAGAAGTTTTAAAGGTACAGTAGCATAAATGCGATCTATTTATTAAAGGGGACATGAACTGAGAAATCAAAATTCCTTTGATCGTTTGATATATAAGAGGTCATTGTGCTATAAAACATTCTGTAAGTCTAAAAACAGCTTATATTGAAGCCAATCTGCCAAAACG